AGGAATGCACGAAACATTGCCACGAATGAATTTTTGTTTCATTGCCATAAATATCACGATACAGCGAAACCATTCGACCCTGAGAAAGCTTGGGCCGATCATCTGAATCGCTTGGCAGACATCGACAGGCTGTATCCCAGCAAAACGCCTTTGCTGGCTCGGCATATAAGCCCTCCGCTCAGTACCAAACGATTGTTCGATATCCACGGTGAGTACTGCTTCATCTTCGTTGTCTTTAACTCGGTTTGCGAGTCTTCTGATAGTACATTGGATCTTAACAGATAATTCAACGAGAACATTAGTGTCATAGACTTAACAACAATAATAGTGAATAATAGTGAAGATGACCAAGAAGATTGAATAACTACTGTTCTATCAAGTTCCAGTCTGCTTGTGCGAATCTCTTAAACACTTGTGCGGAGATCATTAACGTGAATGGAAGTTCATGGATAGTTTGGACTTTAATGGGATCGATGTTAACCTTCCTTTGGTTTTGATGAGAAGATACTAGGACTTGATCTTCCAAATTAACTGGAAATCTGAAAATGAATAATCGTTATAAATAAATTGGCTAACGTTAATACTATGAAATAGAAGATATAATAGCCGAGTGACAATTAAATAGAATAAAATTTTAATTCTCGAGTCACAGTGTAACAGAGGGTTAAGAAGATCTTTGGAAGTCCAAACTGTTCTAACTTCTAATATGCGTTGGAATGGCCAATTAACACTGGAACTACTCACCTGCAATGTGTATTTAAATATAATGTTAGTAGATAATTAAAGAATGCTAAAGATAAATAGGTATTTACACAGAATTAAAGTTTGAACCTGATATTTTGATTAGTTTAGTAGTTCTAGTGTTAATAAGTTCCACGATGCAAGACTGAAGAGTTGGAAGCATCAAGGGTAACCTGCAACAAAGATCACTTTTAATTCCAGGAAACTTGGTAACCGATTACGATTACTTACCATCGTTCCCCTCGTTGCTACGTAAAAAGCCACTGTTTGACCTTCTCGAGCCATCACCAATGGCGCCCGTGAGTGCTTTCACCAGAGACCCGTGGTGGTACCCTAGCTATGCTCCCTATATTCCGAGCTATGCTCAAAGAGTCACCCCGTTCTATCTGAGGGATAGTTACCTCAGTCCTGTTAAACGTAGCTACCTGTGGAGTCGACATCCAATCAGGCCTTTCGGTACGTAACCTCTTTATCTTGTTATTAGTGACACTTCGATGAACAAAAGGTCGCTCTTTGTCCGAGAAAGTGGCGCCACTAGACCTAACCTTGACTACTGGAGTGTGGTTAAAGTACGGTTAGAGTATGTTGTTTGTTTGAAGCATCTACTTCAAACTGTGAATGATAAAGTACACAGAGAGTAAACAATTGATTCGAGACATTTGATTGCTGATCATTTGTTGATCCGCCTTATTTCTTTTTTGATTTATAATTTTAGAACGAAAGTACTGTAGATAAATCTACTCGCTAAAGTGAAGCTAGTTCTTTCTCTTTTTATCCTATTATTATTTTATTGATTTTGTTCTTTTTAAATTTATACCGTGTACTTTATATTGTTAAACAAGATAAAATTGTAGTAAATAAGTAATTCCACAGGTTTAACTTCTTCGTGCAAATTTTCTCAGATAAAGAGCGAAGAAAGATAAGGTGTAATTCGTGTTAGAGAGCACAATTTTTAAAAATTGCTTTTCCGTAAAGGAACCTTATAGAAAACATCGAGCTAAAAATATGTTTCTTTTTTTTCATTTTTTCTTGATAATACCAAATTCGATGGTATCAAATTTAATATTCAAAGAGATTTTTTACCCAAGAGAAAAGAGGAGAATCAAGTAAAGAAACCAGGAATTTAATCTTCGTTGGTCTCTATACTTGAGTAAATCAGAAAGAAATTCTCCTGAAAACACTGCAATAAGTGCGATGCATAATAAACTGCACGAGGAAGACCACCTAATGGTGCAACTACAACAAATTCCAGAAATTCTCGATTATTGCGAAATCAGGCAAAAATACCAAGGTCTAAACACGCAAGGCAGTTCAAAAATTTCTTTACCTTGATAAGTTCGCTATAACTAGACCTACCTTGAAACGAAAATACAATAGATAACGAAACAACGAAACGATGCAGAAAAGAAAAGAGGCCGAACTGGCCGGCAGATTTTTGCGAACTGCCGTACCTTTTTCACGGTGTGGGGACACTTAATGTTTATTTACGAAACCAACCAGTGTCTGACTATTTTGCAAAATTTTTACGTTCGTTTCGAGCGAAATTTTCCTTCCATGACGTTCGATCGAGAGTGCCCGATTGCATAACGTTGTAAAACAGAATTACGTTTGGCATTATCTCACCGATTGTTTACCATCTGGCTCGAGTGCAGATATTGTTGTTTCCACGAAAGAATGCGCGAAATTCGTGGCTGTTCGTGCCAGACACGACTTCCGATATCGAGCCAAGTATTCCTTCCTCTTGGCAGCCATTGCTCGATTAATTAACGATTACGTATCCGCGTCACGCTCTATTAAAACGGCATTATTCAACTCTACGGCTGCCTTCGTAATTTATTATTAGAAACTTGTTGAAACTTGTTGAAAGTGATTAAAGTAAGATGGATTATACGGAGGTTAGAATATCAATGGAGTTCCTTGATGGACGAATAATACGAACTATAGTTCTTCTATATGGTACTTCGTAATACTTTTGGTACTATAATTGATACACCTTAGTACTCTATTTAGTAATTTTAGTATTAATACTTTTGTATTGGTGCTTTGGTATTGGTACTTTGGTATTTATAGTGTGTAGAGGGCCAGATTGACGACCTGAACTTTATGGTTTCTGTTTTTCGATCTTTAATTCGTTTCTAGCTTCTTTGGCTTCGCATTTTAATCTGCAGAGGCGTCTATAGATCTTATTTGTTGCATTCGTTATAAATATTCGCGATACTTATGGAAAATGTAATATATCGTGGCTCTTGTCCATGAGTTTTAATATCCACGAAATTGTACCATATTATGTACTTGTTATCGTTGAAAATCGTTAAAAAGATTATGTAACGTTAGTTACTTGGTGATATTTGTGTAGTTTTAGTTTGTCCTTAAGAATTTCCGTATGTTTAGCAGAGAGTATTTTAAGGTGACAACTTGAAACTTATTTATAAAGAAGCAAATTACACGGGCTATTAAATTACAGTAAGTCCTGGTCGATAATGCAGTCCGTTTTTATACGCATAATAAAGGCACGAGTATTATGGTGGAACTAACACTTCCGGTGCTCGATGACTCAAATGCCACGGTAATAATACCATCAAAGAATCAGTATTTTCTTTGTTCGTTCGATGTCCATGCTGTATTTTATCTATTTTCTTCGGCAAAGAAATAATTCATTGATTAGTAGATTATAGAAAAATATTATAGATTGAAATATATTATAGTTTGAAATTTACCAGCTTATTTATTTTTGCTATATTAAAAATGAATAGTTAACGCTTTGACTGCCACGCACTTTTTATATGGTACACTCAGATGATCAATTTACATTAAAATTGAAAGGAATTAAAATTTTCATTATTCTTATGACGAATTATCAAACAATATGGCGAAGAAAAGATGGTGAGAATTATTAATGTCTTCTATTCAAAGTTCTCTATTTATTTGCGTTGTTCAAATTTTCAAAAAATGATTAGAGTAAAACAAATATAAATTTAAAAAATTAGTATCGCCGAACACTAGTGACCACCATGACAGTCAACATGTTAATAGAGCAAGTTAAAGGGTGATAAATAATCGATAACTTTTATTCGTCCTTATGGTTAACTCCAATGATATCGTTGCTAACTTCACGATATTGTTTTATCCCGGAAAAATTCACGTTGATACGAAGCCACCGACTAGCTAAATTATTTTCTCAGTACTGTATCACCGTGCACGTGCGCCTCGATCGATCGAAACTCGGATGGAAAATATTTATCTATTTGTACGCCAATGATTCAAATTAATTTCATTAAAAATTTATCAAAAATATTCAAAAAGTATCCTAAAAAAAGTTGTATTCGAAGATTCAGAAAGAATAGATAAAATTTAGAAATAATGAAAAAATAATAGTAATAAAAAAAAGAAGATTCCTCAGTGAATGAAAGTGATATGCAACTCGAATGTGTCTGTTGTATTTCAGGATCGTTATACTACTATTATTCGCAGCCAGTTCCACGATTTCACTTTACCCGCCCGTGGTATAATAAACGTACCACATATTAAGAAACAAAGTGAGCGATAAGATTAAAATGTGGCCAAGTGTTTTACTCCCTGTTACCCTCACACGTTAATTCTGTGAACAAATAATCAGGAGGAACAATCACGTCATGCCGCTGTATATATTTCTGGCTACGACGAGACTTATCAATTAACACGCAGCTAAACGTAACAAACGTAACACGACGAAAGTGAAACGAGTCTTGAGCCTGTAAGATCATTACTATAGCTCGTGTTACTTGGGCTGTCCGAGCGAACGAAACTGAAATTTCGGCACTAACCGTGTCATCACAGATCATAAACCACTTCACAATTCTTCTTCACTGAATCATTCGCAATTCAATGCAATCATCAAATTAAAAAACAAAAAAAAAAAAAAAAAAAAAAAAAAAAAAAAAAAAAAAAAAAAATATGAAACGAAGAATTATCGCTAAACAATGTCACACATGTTGTCTGTATTTTGTACGTGACTTATATGCCTGGATTTACAACGCCCTCTCTAATAGGTCTTTTTTATTTGAAACTCGTTCCTTTATGTACATTTCACTCAACTAATATGCATACGAATATACAATGTGTACATATCAACAGAAGATCGAGGCATGCCCTGCAAACAGAAACTCCCGGAATGTTAATGCAAAGGATCCTGTTTCTCGATCTTTCCACCAACTACTGTTTCACAGATCCATCGATAGTTTGTGTTTGCAGAAGATGTTCGGATTTAACATAATAGCTTTAGATGCCACGCGAGATATCGACAGACACCGGAAACACGATCCGTGTCGAAAACTTTTTATCTTACCGTATAAAGATATTCCTTTCCTGTCCCAGTTGAAAGATATTCTAATTCTTACTATGTGTACACCTACTGTACCCTGGTCTTTACGCTTTGAGAGTTCTATCAAATTATTTTACACGTTCGATTTTAAGGAACACGCAGACGAGAACGTCTGCCGTAGAAATCGTGCAGCTATTAGAGTGTCGACTCTGACGCGAGGTTAGAACTCTCGAAGCAATGTTTACCTTATTCATTTTATCGATCGATTTTTGTGCCTGATCGATTAATCGATCTTTTTGCAGCTCACGCCTACTGATGACTGTGTCGCCCCGCATGGAACGCGTGATACGAAATAAAGCGATGAAAAAAGCCAAATAAAATTACGAAAAAAGATAACAAAAAAAAAAAAAAAAAAAAAAAATG